CTGTACCCACCATAGTATATAAAAACTTCGTTAGGTTGCTAGTTGCTACTACTTCCTAATCTCCTATTCATAATCAAATTATTCTTGCTGGATTAAAGAACAATCTAAAATAGCTATCAAAAGGCGCGCACCTCTTTACTTCTTGGAAACTTTAAATCCTTGTGTAGAATGTTTGCAAAGGTCTTCTGCCTCGTTTTCCCCCTGAATGGTGTATATCCGTAAAGCATCTCATACAAGAGAATTCCTACAGAGCAACAAGAATTCAATATCGGTCATAAGAAACTCTCTCATATATATAATATATAATATATAATATAAAATATAAAAGAGCATTAACAAATTACCAAGAGCCCACCAATCCACCGCACTAGTATGGCCTGCCCCAGTAATGATTTCCTGTCACGAACAATTGAACAAGTCAGCACTAAGAAAATCTATATTGAAATGAACGAAACAAACGAAGAAAAAAAAAATGAAATAAAATTACGTATATTCTATTGTAAAAGATACTAACCGGAGCTATATATTCTTCAGTACCAACAAAAGAGTTTGATGCTCTCATTGGTTCCGCCATAAAGATTGGAGCAGGTTGACCTTTTTGACCTTTATGCCTTCTCTTTTCACTTATCTCTGGTATCAAAAGCTGCACAATGCACATAATAATACTCGATTATTTAGGATGATCATGAGTTGTTATACAAGGTAGATTGTAGTAGATGAAGACAGACCTGTGGTTTGCAAGATGTCAAACAGGACAAATCAAAGTCCGTCAAAGCAACATGTCCATTGTCTTGAAGCAGAACATTTTCCGGCTTTAGATCCCTGTATATTATACCTGCAAGCAAGAAATGCAAAACAAGATATAGTAGAATGCTCCACACACTTTGCAATAAAATTGATATTTTGCTCGGGATAGAACTTTTCGGTCTTCGCTGGTGAATACTCCTATTTTTAAATTTATAAAAATAAAATACATGAATAAAGTTTTACCTTGACAGTGCAGATACTCCAGTGCCACAACTACTTCAGCAGCATAGAATCTATTAGAAATAACATAAGCCTATTTCAGTTCTATGAATGTGCCTCGTCAGATTTTAAAAAACAGGTTATTATTTACAACCACTGATATTCACATGTATAGCAAACTGCAGGTTTATTACTTCTCTTTGCTGAAGACTATTCTAAAATCAGAGTTTGGTGATTTCCACATTCATCTAGTATTGCAATATTAAAGCATAAACACTAAATTCCCTTTCAAGAGGAACGATCGGTGTCTTGTAACAATTTAATACAGCCACTTGTGGTGGTGAAAATTAAAATTACAACACTAAGAGAAGATTGGATAACAAGACGAGAACAGTTTATGAATATAACCAATAGTCCATCAAGTATTATTTCTTGAGTCTAGAACAAACTATATATTTCACATATTTCATGCTAATTATTTTATATATACTATGTACCTTACGGCATCTTCCTTGAGAACTTTAGTTGGCTGCCTATCGAGAAGAAGAAAGAGCTCTCCACCAGGGCAGTAATCAGTTATCAAACAAACATGAGTTTTGGTCTGCAAAGCATTTAGTTTTCAGAGTAATCAGAAATAAGATATTCACAAGTAGTATTTTCTGTGGATTAATTTTCAAAGTGAAAAGAAAATTTCACTTTCTCAGCAAAGATTTTTTTTCCTGTCCACTGAATTTCCTAAAATTGATATCATCTAACCTGAAATGAAGCATAAAGAGCCGGAAGAAAAGGGTGATCTAACATGTCTAGGATTTCTCTTTCTGCACAAGCTCTGTGAACCTGCAGAATTGGAATAGGGGTGCCAGTAAAGCAAAAGGATTGTAAAGACGATCTGTAAAATGCAGAGTCTAACATGATGGCACTAAGTAATATTATGATATGCAATTTTGAGTCAAAAATATTTCAAGCTATAGAAAGATACAGTTCAGGTGCACTGCAAATAAAATATACAATTCAGCTCCGTACCTTGTTTCGATTAAGCATTATACCCTTGTCCATTGCTTTCATGGCGAAATATTGCCCCGTTCCACATAGTTCTACTAAATGGACACTGCAAGCATTTAAAGCATGAGTTGTTTCGTCTATAATTCTAAACATTTCTACATACTAGCATGTACTTTTTCATGACATCATCGTGCCTTTGCGTAAATAGAAGAATTCCTTTAAGATACTGAACATCAGGTGCTTATGAAATTGTAAAACGAGTTAAAACATTAAGAACAGTTATAAAATAATATATTTAAAAACACATACCTTCCAGTATCACCAGACCCTAATGGTTTTATTGGCTTAAAATGTTTCAAGCTAATCTCTTCCCCTTTATCTATAACCTACAAAACAAAACGTACACATAATTCATTGGATCAGGAAAGTAAATAGAATTTGATAACAGTATCCCGTACAAAATAAGAATATAGATACAATCTTTTATGATTCACAGATGCCCCCGTCTTTCTTGTGCGCATAAACAAGTCCAAGAAATTCAAAACAGTTAAACATATAATAGTACCTCTTGAATAGCATTCCAGGAAGGGCTATTTCTTCTATGAGGCTTTGGGCGAACAACCTTTGAATGATTTTTCCACAAGTCCTCTGGTTTCTGCATGTCATGTTAAATCATTCAACTCCGATTAGAAGTCAAAGACCAACAGAACATTCAAATGTAAGTATTTCAAAGTAAATCAGTACCGCATTGGCATCCGGAAGCTCTCTGACAGCGTCGTCAATATTTGCAGCTGTTTCTTTCACCTGAGAACAAACCAATGCCAGTTATTATTTTTATCCAAACTTATTTGTTCACTGAATATACTTACATATTCTATATATCAGTATTCTCGCATCATTTATGCTAAAAGTGGGCTAAAATCAGAAGTTATATGAATAAAATGCGTTTTAATAATCGAAAAATAGCAGAACAAAGTTGCACACCAGTTTTGCACTTTCTGTTGCTGTTGCCTCGGGGATACAGTTATGGAGCGGCTCAACATGTTGACTTCCATCTAATTGCACTCCAATAAAATACTGAACTTCTCCCTATTCAAAAAGACAGAAAACAAATAA